AGCTTGGGCCCATAGTACAGCCACCCCACCCTGTTACAGTAGATAGCTTAGTCAGACGTGAGCAGAGCAGGAGAGAGCTCCATGCTCCCCTCCCCTACCACGCGCACACACCAGGAATGTCAGGCGACCATCAGTGCTTAGGTGGTTGGTAACTGTCTCTCTAAAATAATAATTGGTCACAGCTGAAACCAGGGAAAGGCAGTTTTCCATATAAACAGAAAAAAACCTGAAACTGGTGATCAGCATCCCAATAAGATCTCAGGAGTCAGGCAAGTGGCTCAGGCATGTACACTAAGAGCCAAAATGGTTCAATTTAACTGGTATGTGACCTCCCTCTAGGAATACTATACTGGTAAGGGGAGTTGATATGGTTTGACCGTGTCACCACACAAATCTCATCTTGAATTGTAGCTCCCAAAATTCCCATGTGCTCTGGGAGGGACCCTGTTGGAGATAATCTATTCATGGAGTCCATTTCCACCATACTCTATTCCTGGTAGTGAATAAGTCTCATGAGATGTGATGGTTTTATAAGGGGTTTCCCCTTTTGCTTGGCTCCCATTCTCTCTTGCCTGCCACCATGTAAGGCATGCCTTTTACCCTCCGTCATGATTGTGAGGCCTCCCCTGCCACGTGGAACTGTGAGTCCGTTAAACCTCTTTTTCTTTATAAATTACCCAGACTTGGATATGTCTTTATCAGCAACATGAAAATGGACTAATATAGGAAGCATGCCTAAAGTGAACATGTGTACAACTCTAGTAAACATACTGTGCATGTGGCCCCTCCCAAGTGCGAGCAGGCCACTGCACATGTGGACAGTGCATTGCAAGGGAAGAATCGGGAGAAGAGACACAAGAACCTGGAAACATGCCAACATATAAAACTTCAAGTCAAAAGGCCAAATTATTCACTCGATCTCTCAAGTCACCTGCTTAGCCCTCTCCAAGTGTATTTTACTCCCTTTCATTCCTGCTCTAAAGCTTTTTATTAAACTTTCATTTCTGCTGTAAAATTTGCCTTGGTTTCTCACTCTGCCTTATACCCTTGGTTAAATTCTTCCATGGAGGCAAGGATTGAGGTTGCTGCACATCCTTACAGACTGCCACTAACATATTTTGGTGCTATGAGACTCGAGTACTTTTTACCACTGACATACTTTGGTGCTGAGTGACTTGGATATGGATATGTTCTCTATTGGTAAGAGACCTCTACACCTCCCCTTCTTTGGCTGGAGGTATTCAACCCCTGTACACCTTTTTTCTTCTCCCTTTCTCTCTCCTGCTTACTAACAAACCCCAAGAATGATTCCTCTCCACCAAAAGTGGCTCTCCTCACCCTGGTTTCTCTCTCAGCTCACCCCGAGGAGTGGCTGTGGGAGTGGGAAGGACGTTGGGGTATGCACCAAGTAAAACTGAGGCACTAATGGCCCTCCTGGACAGGAAGCTCACAAGAGTGGTAGAGCTAGCACTCAAAACTGTGCAATGTCTGGGGTTTCTTCTGCTTTTTCAACTAAAATGGTCTTTTTCTCGAAAGCCCACATGCCTATTGCCCTGTTTTCTCTCTGTGTGTTCTGAAATGGCCTTGCACACTCTCTGGACCAACCACCCCATGGTCAAGTCTGCCTCTTTCCATGCCATGTGACTTCTTAAACAAATACTGCCAGTACTTCATGTACCTGCAACTCTTGCTGTATTCACACAGCATCAAAGACACAGACTGCCTTCCAGATATCCCCTGAGATTTATACTTGTTTTTACCCTACCAGTTGAGATGACCTCCAACCCTTCCCCTGTCTGCTAGCACATTGCTGAGACAGACACTAATTGAAACTCAGGCTCTGCCAGCTCCTTATGACTTACCAAATGCTTTTCATTCCTGTTATGCCAAGGGCCAAGTTTTCTCGTAGCTTTTGAAGTGGTTTATCCACCAGCATATGGCCTCACTCTGGCCCTTTAAGATCTCATCCACTTGCTTTTTTTGAGTTAGCATTTTTTGGGAGGAGGGGAAATTCTCCCTTTGCAATTCGTATGTTCTTGCCTCAAACCCCAAGTACTCCAAAGGTTACTATTTTGTATGAAGAGGGCAAATAAACGTCCTCTCGAATCCAAGTGCTGCTGTTTTTGCGAGCATATGAGGGCTTTCCATGAGTATTATTCTGACTTGCTCCCACTCCTTCCTGTAGCCTCCATTTGTCTACTTCCACATCCTTCTTAACATGCATCAAGACCTTCAAGGTTATATGTGAAGGGCGTGGGGAGGGAACTTCAGCCCCCTTGTGGCAGTTTACTGAAAAACAAGCTTCTCCTCTACTTAAAAGAACATGGGAATTGGGAATCTGAGAAAAATGATAATTATTTTTTTGTTAGAATGCACTGAATGAGAGTCACTATAAGTTCATGAAGACAAGGATATAGGCAAGCCCAAGGCCGCAAGCACAAGAGACCAATAGGACAGAGACAAAGGTCGGTCCCAGGCTGACAAATTACTATTAAAATAGAGATGAAAGCAAGATCAGGGTACAGAGTAAGACCAGTTCATAATGGAACCCCAAGGATGAATAGTGTGCCCACTGTTCACTCTAGTATATCAAGTTCTCAAGTAGGTAATTGTGATGAGTTGAGACCAAGGTTAAGGGTACACAATAAGACTGATTCATTCGAGAACCCTAAGGAAGAATGGGGAATGCCCTATTAAGGGTCAGAGGAAAGTAAGAGGGGATACCTTTTTCCCTTTGTTCCTTTTCAGTTCTCTCTTCACAGATGGGTAATCTTGTCTCCATACCACAAGCCATGCCCCTCGATGCATCCCCCAAAACTGGGAAGTGTGATTTCTCCAAACCTTAAAAATACTAGTTTTCCTTTATAATACCATTTGGCCTATAAAATAAATGGAGGAAATAACAAAAGTCAGTCTTAGAGCCTGGTGCCCTTATGCAGGAAATCCTCAAATTAGCCTCCTCTGTCTCTTATAACTGAAAGTAGAATAAGGAGTACAGGGCCAAGGAAAAGGAGAAATGCAGGGAAAGGAGGCAGGCTCAACTGTTGGCTGCTCTGCAAGCCCACCAGCCCCCTTCCAATTGCCCTAAGGACACTCCTCTAGGGAACTGCCACTGGGGCAGGAAGCCAGGCCACTGGAAGGCAAGCTGTCGGAATACATGGGAAAAAACTGTGCATGACTTGCCCCCTCTACCACAAGCTCAGCTACTGGAAATGGGACTGTCAAGAGGGCCAAATGGCCTCTGGAAAAGAATCCCAACCCCTGATGGCCTTGAGTGAAGGGGCTTTCTACTCTGTCTGGCTTCTAAATCAGACATCAGTGTTGTCAATGGTACAAAGCCAAGAGCAACTCTGGAGGTGGCAAGTAAAGTTATAAATTTCTCTTTTGGGTTCAAGAGCTAACTGCTCTGTGCTAATTCTCTCCTAAGCAACTCTCTTCCAAATCCTGTTGGGTAACAGGGTCATATAGCTTCACCTCACTCCAAAAGAGAAGATTCACACCTCTTTGGGGCAAAAACTCTACAGTACACAGATAAACTCCTTATCTTCTGCCCTTCACAGGACTCATACAGTAACATGTAGTTCAAACCATAACTTCCTAACAGAAGTAAAATTATTTTTATCTAATCCAAAGGTTATAAAGGTAAAGGTATTTCTCGTAAGGAAAATTTTAAAGAAAAAGATTTTGTATAAAAAAAGGATCTTGTATGGTAAGTTATTGTCCTAAAATAAAATAACTGGTTGTTTAAAAAGAGGGATTTTAGGACAAGTCAGAAAGTCAAAGCATGTCATAGATGGTCTGTGTAAGTTATGAAAAAATCATGAAACAGAAGTTATGAAAATTTACAATTTTAAGGGGTATTAGGTCTACCAAATGCTCCATAAACTGCTTCTATTACTTAACTATGCAACTTGCCTGCTTTAAACCTAGGTAAGGAATGGGGGACATACGGGGTTAGCCATGCCTCTAGCTATACTGGAATCAAACCTTATCTGCACTTCTGTCTGGTGTCCTAGGCTCCAAACATACTACATAATTAGAATCACTTATTTATCAGGTTTTTCACCAAAAGTAAAAGCTGCTAAGAGTTAACAGTGTAACATGTACTTGAGACTGCTGGAAAAACAGCTGTACATGCAAGACGTGTAAGGAAAATAGAATGTGCTTTTGGCAAAGGGTTGCAAGAAGACATGGGAATGCAGATTTTTTTTTTTTGGGGGGCCTGGTTTAGAGGGTTAAAGGATTATTTTAAGTTAGATAGGATAAAGTTGAAGATTTAAGCAAGTTGTGAAAGTTTTTTGAAAGATTAATATTATAAAATAAAATCTGCATGTAACTTACTGGCTAAAGGAGTACTATTCAGTTTTTCCATAAATTAAACATTGGAATAAAAGCACAACAGAGTTTTATTAAAGCATTAATCTACTTTTTATAAATATGTAGTTGGTATATGTTCCAAAATTATGCAAAACTATAATTCTGATACAACTTAGTATAAGTTATCAGTAATAATTATATTGTTATTATGTGCCACAGAGGTAACAAATATCCTTCTCAATTTTATCTTTGACTATGGGTGCCCTAAGACTTTTTGTCATCCATAGACAATTGTTGTTGTTTTAATTCTATTTAAAAGGTGTTGATTTAATCAACTATAAAACTCTAACAGGTGATCTTAAATGCAGGTTTCTGATAACTTCAGGGATTTTGATGTTAGAATAGAGGAAAAGCATTCAAAACTCTCATGGAAAGCTGAAATGTTCATGAAGATCAAGCAGAACAGGAGTTAACTGCATGGACTAAACTAATAAAAGACTGTTAATAATCCTTACAGCTTTTAACAGTTGAGTAAAGCATGTGCCTATAAACAAAATTTAGAGCATATTACTTTCTCCTTACTTAATCTCTCCAGAATTTAGATACTACTTGTAAGTATTTTTGACTTATGGCAATATTGTTACTTGCCTTAGTGCAATAAGAATCTACTTTCTTTTACACAGGACACAATTGGAGAAACTGGTTATTTTACCAAGGTTTTGACTGGAATGGCATACTTGCAGGTGGCTTTAAGGAATCAACTTTGACTTATAGAACCAATAAACACCTTGGGGAAAACTGGCCTCATACCTTGTCTAAATAGTCACTGTACACATCTCTTGACCTCTGGTAAGTAAAGAATGTTATTTTCCAGTAGGCCAAGGAGCCCCAAGTTATCTTGGGACCTCAAGAGGAGAGGAATTTCCCTAACTCATATAGGTAATTGATGACACTAACCCATGGCTGGGATTAAGTCTTCAAAAAAGTCTTATCTGATTTCTCATGAAATGAAGTTCCATCAAAGACAATTTAAAAGGGAGCCTATATGACAAATAATTATTCTTGCTATTCTTTATGCAAACAGGTCAAGTATAATAAGACTAAAATTTATTCTGCAAACTAATCCATCCTGTCATGATATTTTTTAAACAAAGGAGGACTGGAAAGAGAAAAATCATGTTTCTTTTTTTTTTTTTTTTTAATTTTATGCTACCATTTATTTATTTATTTATTTATTATTATTATACTTTAAGTTCTAGGGTACATGTGCATAACATGCAGGTTTGTTACATATTTATACTTGTGCCATGTTGCTGTGCTGCACCCATCAACTCGTCAGCACCCATCAACTCATCATTTACATCAGGTATAACTCCCAATGCAATCCCTCCCCCCTGCCCCCTCCCCATGATAGGCCCCGGTGTGTGATGTCCCGCTTCCTGAGTCCAAGTGATCTCATTGTTCAGTTCCCACCTATGAGTGAGAACATGCGGTGTTTGGTTTTCTGTTCTTGTGATAGTTTGCTAAGAATGATGGTTTCCAGCTGCATCCATGTCCCTACAAAGGACACAAACTCATCCTTTTTGATGGCTGCATAGTATTCCATGGTGTATATGTGCCACATTTACTTAATCCAATCTGTCACTGATGGACATTTGGGTTGATTCCAAGTCTTTGCTATTGTGAATAGTGCCGCAATAAACATACGTGTGCATGTGTCTTTATAGCAGCATGATTTATAATCCTTTGGGTATATCCCCAGTAATGGGATGGCTGGGTCATATGGTACATCTAGTTCTAGATCCTTGAGGAATCGCCATACTGTTTTCCATAATGGTTGAACTAGTTTACAATCCCACCAAGAGTGTAAAAGCGTTCCTATTTCTCCACATCCTCTCCAGCACCTGTTGTTTCCTGACTTTTTAATGATCGCCATTCTAACTGGTGTGAGATGGTATCTCATTGTGGTTTTGATTTGCATTTCTCTGATGGCCAGTGATGATGAGCATTTTTTCATGTGTCTGTTGGCTGTATGCATGTCTTCTTTTGAGAAATGTCTGTTCATATCCTTTGCCCACTTTTTGATGGGGTTGTTTGTTTTTTTCTTGTAAATTTGTTTGAGTTCTTTGTAGGTTCTGGATATTAGCCGTTTGTCAGATGAGTAGACTGCAAAAATTTTCTCCCATTCTGTAGGTTGCCTGTTCACTCTGATGGTAGTTACTTTTGCTGTGCAGAAGCTCTTTAGTTTAATGAGATCCCATTTGTCAATTTTGGCTTTTGCTGCCGTTGCTTTTGGTGTTTTAGACATGAAGTCTTTGCCCATGCCTATGTCCTGAATGGTACTACCTAGGTTTTCCTCTAGGATTTTTATGGTATTAGGTCTAACATTTAAGTCTCTAATCCATCTTGAATTAATTTTCGTATAAGGAGTAAGGAAAGGATCCAGTTTCAGCTTTCTACTTATGGCTAGCCAATTTTCCCAGCACCATTTATTAACTAGGAAATCCTTTCCCCATTTCTTGTTTCTCTCAGGTTTGTCAAAGATCAGATGGCTGTAGATGTGTGGTATTATTTCTGAGGACTCTGTTCTGTTCCATGGGTCTATATCTCTGTTTTGGTACCAGTACCATGCTGTTTTGGTTACTGTAGCCTTGTAGTATAGTTTGAAGTCAGGTAGCATGATGCCTCCAGCTTTGTTCTATTGACTTAGGATTGTCTTGGAGATGTGGGCTCTTTTTTGGTTCCATATGAACTTTAAAACAGTTTTTTCCAATTCTGTGAAGAAAGTCATTGGTAGCTTGATGGGGATGGCATTGAATCTATAAATCACCTTGGGCAGTATGGCCATTTTCACGATATTGATTCTTCCTATCCATGAGCATGGTATGTTCTTCCATTTGTTTGTGTCCTCTTGTATTTCACTGAGCAGTGGTTTGTAGTTCTCCTTGAAGAGGTCCTTTACATCCCTTGTAAGTTGGATTCGTAGGTATTTTATTCTCTTTGAAGCTATTATGAATGGAAGTTCATTCCTGATTTGGCTCTCTGTTTGTCTGTTACTGGTGTATAAGAATGCTTGTGATTTTTGCACATTAATTTTGTATCCTGAGACTTTGCTGAAGTTGCTTATCAGCTTAAGGAGATTTTGGGCTGAGACAATGGGATTTTCTAAATATACAATTATGTCATCTGCAAAGAGGGACAATTTGACTTCTTCTTTTCCTAACTGAATACCCTTGATTTCTTTCTCTTGCCTGATTGCCCTAGCCAGAACTTCCAACACTATGTTGAATAGGAGTGGTGAGAGAGGGCACCCCTGTCTTGTACCAGTTTTCAAAGGGAATTTTTCCAGTTTTTGCCCATTCAGTATGATATTGGCTGTGGGTTTGTCATAAATAGCTCTTATGATTTTGAGGTACATTCCATCAAAACCAAATTTATTGAGCGTTTTTAGCATGAAGGGCTGTTGAATTTTGTCAAAGGCCTTTTCTGCATCTATTGAGATAATCATGTGGTTCTTGTCTTTGGTTCTGTTTATATGCTGGATTATGTTTATTGATTTGCAAATGTTGAACCAGCCTTGCATCCCAGGGAAAGCAGGAAAGATCTAAAATTGACACTCTAATATCACAATTCAAAGAACTAGAGAAGCAAGAGCAAACGCATTCAAAAGCTAGCAGAAGGCAAGAAATAACTAAGATCAGAGCAGAACTGAAGGAGATAGAGACACAAAAATCCCTCCAAAAAATCAATGAATACAGGAGTTGGTTTTTTGAAAAGATCAACAAAATTGACAGACCGCTAGCAAGACTAATAAAGAAGAAAAGAGAGAAGAATAAAATAGACGCAATAAAAAATGATAAAGGGGATATCACCACCGACCCCACAGAAATACAAACTACCATCAGAGAATACTATAAACACCTCTATGGAAATAAACTTGAAAATCTAGAAGAAATGGATAATTTCCTGGACACTTACACTCTTCCAAGACTAAACCAGGAAGAAATTGAATCCCTGAATAGACCAATAGCAGGCTCTGAAATTGAGGCAACAATTAATAGCCTACCAACCAAAAAAAGTCCAGGACCAGATGGATTCACAGCTGAATTCTACCAGAGGTACAAGGAGGAGTTGGTACCATTCCTTCTGAAACTATTCCAATCAATAGAAAAAGAGGGAATCCTCCCTAACTCATTTGATGAGGCCAACATCATCCTGATACCAAAGCCTGGCAGAGACACAACAACAAAAGAGAATTTTAGACCAATATCCCTGATGAACATCGATGCAAAAATCCTCAATAAAATACTGGCAATCCGGATTCAGCAGCACATCAAAAAGCTTATCCACCATGATCAAGTGGGCTTCATCCCTGGGATGCAAGGCTGGTTCAACATTCGCAAATCAATAAACATAATCCAGCATATAAACAGTCCCCCAAAGTCTTAATTCATTCCACCATTAACTCAAAAGTCCAAGTCCGAAGTCTCACCTGAGGCAAGGCAAGTCCCTTCCGCCTATGAGCCTGTAAAATATTAATAAAAAACAAGTTAGTTACTTCCAAGATACGATGAAGGCACGGGCATTGGGTAAATAATCCCATTCTAAATGGAAAAAATTGGCCAGATCGTAGGGGTTACAGGCCCCACGGAAGTATGAAACCCAGCAGGGCAGTCATTAAATCTTAACGTTCCAAAATAATCTTTTACTCCATGTCTCACATCCAAGCATGCTGATGCAAGGGGTGGGTTTCCAAGGCCTTGGGCAGCTGCACCTCTGTGGCTGTGAAGGGCTCAGCTCCCATGGCTTCTCTCAAGGACCGGCGTTGAGTGCCTGTGGCTTTTTCAAGCACACAGTGCAAGCTGTTATTGGATCTAACTTCTTCTGGTGTATGGTGGCCCTTTACTCACAGCTCTACTAGGCAAGGCCCCCAGAAAATGTGTATTTTTTTTTCTTTTCTACCACATAGTCAAGGTGCAAAATTTTCAAACTTTTATGCTGTGATTCACTTTTTCATTATTAAAAAAAATAAATTTTTTATTTTTTAATTTAAGTTCTGAAACACACATGCAGGACATGCAGGTTTGTTACATAGGTAAATGTGTGCCTTGGTGATTTGCTGCAGGTATCAACCCAACACCTAGGTATTAAGCCCCACGTGCATTATCTGTCCTGATGCTGTCCTTCCCCCTGCTTCCTAAACAGTCCCCAGTGAGTGTTTTTCCCTTCCCTGTTTCCTTGTGTTCTCATTGTTCAGCTCCTACTTATAAGTGAGAACATTCAGTGTTTCGTTTTCTGTTCCTGTGTTAGTTTGCTGAGGATAATGGCTTCTAGCTCTATCCATGTCCCTGCAAAGGACAAGATCTTGTTCCTTTTTATGACCGCATAATATTTCATGGTATATATGTACCATATTTTCTTTATCCAGTCTATCATTGATGGGCATTTGGGTTGATTCCATATATTTTCTATTTGGAATAGTGTCACAGTGATCATATGTGTGCATGTATCTTTACAATAGAATGATTTATATTCCTTTGTGTATATACCTAATAATGGGATTGCTGGATCAAATGATATTTCTGGTCCTAGGTCTTTGAGGAATCACCACACTGTCTTCCATAATGATTGAATTAATTTACATTCCCACCAACAGTGTAAAAGCATTTCTTTTTCTCCACAGCCTCTCCAGCATCCATTGTTTTTTGAGTTTTTAATAATTGCCATTCTGACTGGTGTGAGATGGTATCTAATTAAACTAAAATGCTTCTGCACAACAAAACAAACTATCACCAGAGCAAACAGACAACCTACAGAATGGGAGGAAATTTTTGCAATCTATCCATCTAACAAAGGCCAAGTATCTAGAATCTACAGGGCACTTAAACAAATTTACAAGAAACAAACAACCCTAGACGTTTCTCAAAAGAAGACATTTATGTGGCCAAAAAATATGTAAAAAAACCTCAACATCACTGATCACTACAGAAATGCTCTGATTCTCTTTTAATCATAAGTTCCAATTTCAGACCATGTCTTTTGTGAACCCATATGACTGTATGCTGTTAGGAGCAACCAGGTGACTTCTTTAATGTTTTGCTGCCTAGAAGTTTCTTCTATGAG